AGTAAATTTGGGGGGGCGGGCCAGGGCGGGGCGGGGGCCGATCTTCTCGTCCTGCGGTCCAGGCGGGGCCTCCCTGGGCTAGGGCAGGTGGCCACCGCGGCAAGGAGGGTGCGCCCTTCTCCGCATTTAAAAATGCCCGCCCTGGTGCCGTCGGAGAAAGGGTCCTGAGCTCGCTACAGCTGTCTAGTCCTGGGGAACCCTCCAGATGCCGGGTACCTGTTCCTGCCCCCGTGGTCACCACTGCAGGGACGCCCCTCGTCCCGGGGCGCTGCTGGGGGGCGTTGTGATCGGAAAGCGGTGTCGCACTGCCTGCCTGTCCAGATCTTTGCTCATCTACGCCGTTTTTTTTGAAGCAGCAGCCCGAGCCAAATTTACCCGTGACCACGTGGTCCTTTATTATTATTATTTTATTTATTTTTCTTCTTTTTTAGAGCACTCGTGTGCTCTCCAGAGAGAGAGAGGAAAAAACACCCCCTCCGCCCCAGAGGGAATAGCCAAGCCACAATCCCTTCTTCACCTCTCACTCCTTTTGAGATTTGGGGTGTTTTTCAAGTTCTGGGACTTGAACTGCGCCGTTGGCCATGTGGGGTCCAGCTCATGTAGTCGCTAGGCCAAGGAACAGATCCTATTATCATTATCATCATTATTTATAAGCGCAGTGAAAAGTAAATTTCCCACCCTGTCGCCAGCAGCTTAATTTCCCTGCCTGGAGACACCACTGTGATTACCAATTCCGTTTTAATCTTTCTAAGAACTCTCTGTGCCCATATCATCTAGGGTCCCTCTGGAAAGATCTTTCCCACACTCGGATATGGTGGAAGAGGAAAAAATCGACACGGAGGCTGACCTACAGTTTGCAGAGCCCCTCACAGTTCCTAAGGCATTGCCGATGAATGAAGCTGATGGGCCTGCCGAAGGCCTTGCAGTGGTGGGTGTGGGGCAGGTAAGGGTATTCCCAGTGTACCGATGGATAGTGAGTACTTACTAGTTGTCCTTGGGCAAGTCGCATGTTCCTGTTTGTCATTTTGTCACCTGTAAATGGGGAATAGTGGTGGCTATCTCATGGGTCACCCTGAGGATTAAGTGAGCGAAGGGGAGCAACAGCTTGAGAACTGGCCTGGTGCTGGGGGAGCACTGTGCTGTGCGATGAGCTTGGAGGGATTCCTGACTCCCAGGGTCCCGTGACAGTCTGCCTTCCCAGATTAAGGTCTAACATCAAAATATCCAGTCAGATGGAGAGCGGTTTTGTCATCTTCAAAGACATCGGTGTTTGGGCACAAACATGCCCCTTTTGCTCTTCCTGGCAGGGGTCAGAGGAACCTTGCTAGGTGGATGGCCACCAGCTTGCCCTTCAGCACAGAAGGTTTCGCCTGTATGTACTGAGTAACCTGGCGAGCATCCCTGCAAGGGGCCGGAAGTGGAACAGAAACCGAAGGCAGCCAGGGGATGCTGGACTCTGACTTGAGAATGTGCTGAATATTAATAGAAAGTCTAAAGGTATTCATGGTTTGCTAAAAATGACAATCGAAATAGAGATGAGCTCTGAGGCGGGATGAGGGAATAGATCAGGGAGGGGCACTTGGGCTGTCAACCTCTGTATTGTTTTATTTCTTAACAGAAAACAAGTGTACTAAAAATGTTTGATAAAGTTGGGTGGTGGTAGGTATACAGATTTTTTTTAACTGCCAGAGGGTACATATGCTCTACAGAAAAAGACAGAGAAGGAGGGAGGGAAGGAAGAAGCACCCCCTAATGCAGTGCGGCCATGCCACAATCCCTTCTCCATCTTATTGGGATTTGAGGCATGCGTGCACACACACACACACACACACACACACACACACACACAGTGTGCTTTTCAAGCTACCAGATCTGAGACTCAAACCTCAGTTGGCCATGTAGGATCTGAGTCCCTTAAGTGTTTGGCTAAGGGGCCAGCCCTAACTCATTGTTTTGTTTGGTTAAAGAATTATTTAACTTTATGTATTCATTCATTTCTTTTTAATTTGACCACAGAGAGAGAAAGAGAGAGAAAGTGAGAGAGCAAGCCACCAGGTCTGGGACTCGAACCATGATAACCTATGTGGGAATGTCCAGTGCCTTAACCACCATGCCACCTGCTGGTTCCTAACTCATCGTTTTTTTTCTTTTTAAAGAATAATTTATTTAGGGACCAGCAGTTAGCATAATGGCTATGTCGCTGGACTCCCACATAGTTGACCATGGTTCGAGTCCCGGACCCGGTGGCTTAAACTCATGCCAGGCACGTGTGTGTGCGTACCCAAGATCCTGAGAGGAAAATGGAGGAGAAGGGATTGCGGTGTGGCCATCCCCCCTGGGGGGTGATTTCTCGCTTTCTGTCTCTCCGTCTCTCTCTGTCTGTCTGGCGAGCACACGCGCCCTATAGCAAAAACCTCTCCAAAAAAAGAAAAAAAAAGAATAATTTATTTATTATTATTATTGTTCATATTATTTCTCACATGAGTTTTGCTGCCAGGTCCGGGACTCAAACCATGGCCGGCCATGTAGGAATTCCAGCACCTTAGCCACCATGCCACCTGCTGGCCCCCTAACTCATTTTTAATGGCTGCATAGTGTTCCACAGTATGGTGGACCACAATTTATTCAACCTGTTCTCTGCTGAAGGACATTCAGATTTGTTAGTTTCTGCATCTACAAACAGAACTGGTAGTAGACACTATTTTTAAAATTTTTTATTGTTTAATTTAAAAAATATTTTTTGAGAGGTGTTTGCTGTAGGGCACATGTGCTCACAGAGAGAGACAGAAAGCGAGAAATCACCCCCCAGGGGACTACTACACTGCAATCCCTTCTCCTCCATTCTCATCTCGGAATCTTGGGCATGCACACGCGCCCGGCGTGAGTTTAAGCTGCCAGGTCTGGGACTCGAGCAGTCTGGGTCGACTACATGGGAGTCCAGCGACATAGCCATTATGCTAACTGCTGGTCCCATTTTAATCTCTTTTATACATTCAATCACTATACATCACTTAGCTTGTAAAGTTAGTTCTCCCAACATAAATACACTTCACACCAGTCCAGGCGAGGACACTACACATTATCATCAACAGACAATAATCCATATATATATTTTTAAGAATGATTTTATTTAACTGACTTTCTTTCTTTGTCTCTCTCTCTCTTTCTTTTAATTTGACCAGAAAGGGACAGTGAGAGAGAGAGAGAGAAAGCCACCAGGTCCAAGACTCGAACTGCAGTTGGCTATGTGAGAGTCCAGCACCCTTAACCACCACATCACCTGCCAGCCCTGACAATAATTCATTTCTGTGTCCCATGAATGTCTTGCCTCTCTATGTTTTGCCTTACTATCGTTCCTCAAAAACACTGTTTTAAATGTATAGTGAAGGGATCAGCAGTTGGTAGAATGTCTATGTCACTGGACTCCCATGTAGTCAACTGCAGTTGGATTCCCGGACCTGGTGGCTTAAATTCATGCTGGGCACATGTGCATGCGTGCCCAAGATCCCGAAAGGAGAATGGAGGAGAAGGCATTGTGGCGTGGTCATCTCCTCTGGGTGGGGGGGGAGGATGATTTCTTGCTTTCTGTCTCTCTGTCTCTCTCTGTCTTTCTGGCGAGCGCACGTGCCCTAGAGAGAAAACAACAACAACAACAACCCTGGTGGCTTAAATTCATGCTGGGCACATGTGCATGCGTGCCCAAGATCCCGAAAGGAGAATGGAGGAGAAGGCATTGTGGCGTGGTCATCTCCTCTGGGTGGGGGGGGAGGATGATTTCTTGCTTTCTGTCTCTCTGTCTCTCTCTGTCTTTCTGGCGAGCGCACGTGCCCTAGAGAGAAAACAACAACAACAACAACAAACCTTCTCCAAATAAATAAATAAATAAATAAATAAATAAAGAAATGTATAGTGAAGTAGTGCTTTTATTTCTGTACTAAAAGTTTGGGGGGGGCAGCAGGTAGCATGGTGGTTAAGGCGCTGGACTCTCACGTGGCCAACTGGGTTCAAATCCTGCTACTGGAGATTTGCTTTCTCACTTTTCTCTCTGGTGAGTGCATGTGCTGTACAGTAAAATACAAAATTTAAAATTTTAAATGAAAAAAAGATTTATGGGGACTGAATTATGACACAGTGGTAAGGTGGGGTGCTCTGTGAGTCTGAGCCACAAGAGGGTTCTGGGTTGTTGTCTGAGGATCTCTCTGGATGCACGGTGAGATGCTCACGACCTGGAGCAGACAGAAGCTGGGGGTCAATCACAGCGTAAGGACCCTGTTGGGCATGCTGTCTCTCTTTCACTCATGGCAGACATAAATAAACAATTTTTTTTCAGAGATATTTTTGCTTTAGGGTGCATGCACTTGCTGGAGACCCAAAGACAGAGAGACATAAAGTGAGAAATCACCCCCCACCCCCAGGAGGTGGCCACGCTGCAATCCCTTCTCCTCCATTCTCCTCTCAGGATCTTGGGCACACACGCACATGCGCCCAGCATGTTTTAAGCCACTGGGTCTGGGACTTGAACAGCAGTTGACTATGTGAGAGTCCAGTGATGTAACCATTATGCTACCTGCTGGTCCCTAAATAAACAAACTTAAAGAAAAAAAATCCATAAATAGGATTAACAGAGACTTACA